CCCCGTTATAATGACTTTATTGTTGCATGTACATCTGTATCTTCTGATCTCTGCCTAATTTATTTTTATTTTTTGTTTGCTTTTACAGGCCCAGGCTGCAAGCACAAAGGAAGTTTGCTCAATCTCAGCCGAACAGTCCCAGCACAACTCCAGTAAAGATAGTGGAACCATTGCTACCCCCTCCAGCTACTCAGATTTCTGACCTCTCTAAAAGGAAGCCCAAGACAGAAGATTTTCTTACCTTTCTCTGTCTTCGAGGTAAGTCTGGCCTAACTGTTGTTTGGAAAGGAATAGCTCACTGGACGGCGAGGTGCACTGTGGTGCCCAGGAGTAGGTTTGGCACCAGTCTCAGCACCGGTCTTTTCACCCACCACCTGCCTTGGGGAGGGGCACAGGGAGAAATCTACTGATAACTGCGTTGGCGTCTTCATGTTTCTTCTCCTGTTTTCATTTAACTCCGAAATCCTCTCTTGGCTTCTAAATGCATTTTCTAAGTTGTAGATTCTACTTATTGGTAGAATTTGACTTCTCCCGACCACCCTTTTTGGAAGCCCAGTCCCCATCCCCCCAGGGCTGACTGAGCTGCTCCCCCTCTTGCCTCCCCTAGTGCACAGGCTGGCATGCCTTGGTTTTTAATGCATATGTTTTGGGGTAGGGCATTGTGGGTGGGTCTCAGTTTACCTCCTTTGTGTTTTCCCATCGTGTCAGTACGCAGTCCTCACAGGCTCTGCTCCTGCATGCGCCGTGCCAGGAAAAGGGGTTTATGCTTTCTGAGTATACTTAACACATGTGAACAGGACCAGTGATTAACTGAGTACAACTGTGGACAGACTCTTCTTGTAATAAGGGTGTGTTTGGATTTACATGGCCTTATTTGGAAAATATTTACTACAGTAACTAAATTTCCTAACATTGCTGAAAGGAGAAAACAAAAGATTTGCAAAGAGATTGAACAACACCTTGTGGAAGTGGTCATTGGAGCGGGGCATTAGGAAACTGAGTTTAGAGAGTTCTTTGGTGAGGTTAGTGGAGAAAAGTAAGCAGGAGAGGCTCTTTGCTATAGGCCATGGGGAAGAGTGGAGGCTTGAGGTTCAGGGTTACACACTTTTTTTTTTTTTTTTTTAAAGAAATGACTAGAGGTTTCCCTGGAAGGAAGTAGTGGTCACGCTGTCTCCTTTTTGATCTAATGTCATTCATATCAGGAGTCTTACCTGTATTACACAGTGGTGTTCTTGTTGAGTGGTAAGGGAGGCTAGAGCAGAGGCTAGGGAAGTTGGACTTAAATGCACTATATTTTACATACATACACAAGGGATATGTGTGTTTGGCTGTAGTATTTTGTTAAAGTTTCAAAGGCCGATTTAAATTGTTATGGTTCTTTTGAGCATGAACAGTTCAAGATACTGTGGATACTATTTTATAGAATGCTAACAAGGCTTAAAAAAATCTAGTTTGTATGTTGCAAATGTATCTGATTTCTTTTTATTTTTTATTTAATACTCTAAGCAAACTCAGTTAGAAGAGGCATTATTGATCCCCTGGCAGGAACTGATTCCATTTTGATTCTGACCTCATTTGATGACCTGAGGCTATATACGGTTGCTTTTTGCTTATTTCCTGCCCAAAAATACTGTTTATGGAGCTTCCCCGTGAGAAGAGCTGGAAAGACAATTTAAAGCTGTACACACAGATTCTCAACTTCAGAGCTGAAATGAAGATCTTTCAACCAAAGAGCAGTCTATTTATGATAAATGTCAGGTTAGTTATACCTGCAGTTAAAGTACATTAGTGTTATTTACTCATGAGAGATAAGGGTAATGTAAGTATTGGTTATGGTGCTGGGAAAGAAGTCAAACAACCTTTTCAAGATTCATTAGGATTCAGACTGATAAGAAAGATTTTGTGAATGAAAGATGTCTGGTTTAAGGAAATCAAACCTGGGATTGGTAGGCAGCAAGTAGATGAGTTCAAGGCCATTATCTATGGAGACTGCAATGAGGAAGAGTCCTGCAAGATGGAATAAATCCTGGTTATCAGCCCCTCACTAAGGAGCAGGACTGCTACTCTGCAGCAGAGGGTGTAGCCTGTAATTGGATGAGAAAGAAAGGGCTTCAGATGCAGGTTTTCCCCAGTATTCCTCACTTCAGTGATGGTAGGACATTTATGTGTTGAATTGGACACTAGAAGTTGGGAGAGCATGTCACCTGTGGTGCAAGACTGGGTCATTACGACAGATGGCCATAGTAGACAGAGTGAGGGGATTGTGTATACATGTGACGGGACTGTGTGAAGTGCCGCGTGCTGCGTAGAGAGGCAAGGTAATTGGCCTCCATTGTTGCTGTGGGGCTGAGTCGAGAGCACAATCGCCACATGCCCCATGTTGTCAAGCATCACTTAGGTTAGTGAGACACCCAGTCACACAAGCTGTCTGTGCGTCAGCAGGTGCCACACACACGTGCTTGTGGGGTACTTCTGTGTCCGTGTGTAAAACACAGCCCTTAACCATATTTATTGCCCCTTAAAGCAACTCAATGGTTCACAAGAGTGTGGGGGATGGAAACCATAATAAGAAAGACAGACTTGGCTTGAAATAGTCCCGTCCCGTC